ATACAAAACGAAACGTAACATTATCCATCTTAATTTTATCTTCAGTAGTGCACACGTACAGCACCACCGAGCAGTTTTCTTTTACAGGAATTTTTGATCTTTCTGGTTTAACCATAATTTCCGTTAGAGAAATGATATATTTTTCGGATTTCAGGCCCTTCTCATGGCAGCTGAGACTCAAAAACTCTGAAAAACCGGTTTTCGACCCATTTTTTGTTTCGACCGCCGTTTCACAGGGAAGCATTTTGATGAACTGTGAATGCAATTTTCCTGATCAGTATTCAATTCTAAGTCAGAAAAATGTCATTTTGCCGGTTCAGAGAAAAAATATTTTTGGACGTCCCTGAGGGGATCTTTGCCCTAAAATGTTTCGAAAAAAATTTTTTCGCGAATTTGAACGATCTGAGAATCCAATCTTTCTCAGAATTCGACACTGATTCCGAATATGTCTGACTCACTACGTAATTTTTTAGGCACGAAACCCTACATTTTGCCACTTGTCCTTTCGCAAAAACACAAAATTTTCACGAAAAATGAAGCATAAAAGACACATTTTCTAATTCGATTTTCAACGCTGAATTAGAAAAAAGCTGTTTGAGAGTTTCAAAATAAAAAGGAGAAAAAATGTTCAACTTTTTTCGAAACGGGAAAGTTTTTCGGCTTTTAAGACCCTTCCCGTATTTCAATTTTTCGACGCGCAAACGTACACCGGGAAGGCTAAAAAGGCGATATTGGTGATCAATTTCAAATTCTCTATCGAATCATATATAAAGAAGCTAAAAATAAAATAGCACTTGATTTTTGAATTACGCGCGCCTTGCTTTCCGTTTAAATGTTTTGGAATGGCTGTAGAATGATATAATTCATAAAAAGAGGTTTATTCGCGAAGAAATGTCAAAGTCTGGCACCATTCACTGTGAAGAGATTGTTAAAACAACATGATCTATGGAAAATTATCAGAGTTTCCTTATAACTTATGTGAGTATGAATTTCGAATGAGTTAAAATATTTCTCGAACTCTATCTGAGAGTATGGCAAGCAGAAAAACACTGTACTAAGGTTAACCGACAGTTTATTGATATGGAACCCACCGAAGTTGCAAATGAAAAAAAGGAAAAATTTTCTTCGAGTATAATTTGTACTGGTATCGCTTGCTCAGCAAAAAGGTTTCCCTCTTAACTTTGATCGACTGCTATCTTTTGTCGGTTTGATAAACACAGATTAAGTTGTATCATTATATTAGTATATGATTAAATTAATATCGGTTCAGTCACAATACGTTCTTTAATAGAATATAGCCAGCCATGACGACATTAGAATTATGCAGCATTCGTGTCACCTATACGTCTATTCGAGAAGTTCTGTGGTGCAGTTCTCATCAAGTATAAAAGCTTACAGGCAAAAATCACTACGGCGAAGGAAAGCGGCAAAATAAACACAGAAAAAAAAAGAGCCGAATTATTTTGCTTAGAAATACATCACAAATACAAGTACAATATTATGTTATCTTCGAAAACGAAAGAGATAAAGGACTGTTTAAAGTTCTGGGTTTACTTTATTTTTTATCGATTCTTGTAGACCTTCGGCCATATCTACAACTTTGTCTTGAATAGTTTCAGTAGCATCTTTAATCACATCTTTTACTTGTTTTCCCATGTCTGATAATGTCTCAGCAGAAACATTTTCTTTCACAGATATAAATGACAATAGAATATTTTGACGATTATTCAGTTCTTCTTTCTTCTCGGTTGTGATCTGGAATCGACAAAAGAAACATTAATCCGTGTGTTATATGAGAAACAACTATTCTTAACGATTCCGAGAAAGAATCTTTCAGTCAAATGAGAAAATTTTAGCTTTTAAGTATCTGCTAACATAGAAAATTCGAATGAAATGTTTAGAAGTCAATGAGCAAAATCAAAGATAAACAAAGTGAGCTTTGTTGTAGCAACTACGCTGTATACATCTGTCAGCACTTTAATCAATAAATGCTTAGATGACTGTTCAGAATCGTCATGAAATGTAAATAAAGGAGGCGAATATCTGAAGAAATCGGCTCATGCTTGAATTTCATTGACTAATCAAAGGCTAGATGTAGAATGAAGAGAGGAATATTTTTAGGTACTTACTAGACTTTACAACCGACCTTACGACCGATTTCATCAAATAACCTTGTTCAAAATTAAGCGACGCTTTTCGTTATTATTGTACATACTTTTCCTTTCAATAAATTTTGAATACGTCGTTCTTCACGTTTCAGAAAATCTGTCCCTTGCTTTAAAATTTGCTCCATAATTTTAATGTAACTTTCACCATTCTTTTTGTCTGTTAAATGTTCCATTGATTTGACTTCTTCACGAGCCTTTTCTAACAGTATCTGTTTGTCTTCGTCATTGGATCCATTCTTCATTGAAAATAGATCAAAATATTGACGTGCCAATGAATCCATTTGTTTCAATGTGCCTGGTAAGCCAAACCAGAGATCTTAAAATACAAGCAAGATTTGTTTAAGAATCAACTACACATCTTCATATTTTTACTCGTATGTTGTTTAAGAAATCGTTTTAATGCCGTTGCTGTTTTAGCATCGTTATAATCCAATGGTTTCTCTGTGCCTTTTAAAAACAGTTTGTACACTGGATAATTGGCGGATTGAACATTAAAACGTTTCGCTAAGGCAATGTTCTCTATAGCCTCATGATCTATTGGAGGTGATCGTGGTCCTCTTGGTCTTCTGCCTATGTCATGCTTAGCAGCTAGTGGTATCTCTGCCAAAAGTAAATTTTTTACACTAGCAACATTCTTTGCAAATTTTCTAAACTGATCTTGTTTTTCACCGCGTGCAGTTCTTTCGTCAAATTTCACCAGTACAACATCAAAAGTTTCAATTATCTAAACAACAAAGAAACGAAAATATACACGTTCACTTGACATGAATTTTAGTTACATGTATGCTTACCTTATCGAAAGTAAATTTATCAAGCGTTACTAAAATAAGAGAAAAGAGAAAATTAAGTAAAAATCTTTTCCATGCATCTTTCGTCACATACCAGTGCCCGGCGTATGTGAAAACACGAAATAAATATGTTGATAATATAATAATGATACGATAATGAATTTTAGCATGGTTTGATTATATGATAAAAATCCAGAAAAGAAAGAGTTTATGATTATTTAATAATCTAATTCTATTTTATTGTATTTTTCAAGGGAGGAGAAAGAAAATACAAGCAGTCATGATTTTTTTTCGTTAAATTTAATTCATTACCAAGAAAAACAACAAGAGAAATGCAGAGCGAACGACGAAACACAGAAAATCAAGTAAGAGAAAACATAAAGAGTACGTGCAATAATAATAGAGTTAGATAAAAGATGAAATAAAAAGCAATTTACACAAAAACAGACCCTAATTATCGAAGTTTAATAGGATTTTTAAGGAGTCTACTACAGGAAAAAAAGGAAGGAAATTTTGTATTTTTAATATCTCTCAAGCAACAATAAATAAAAGAATCAACTACACTCATCGGAAAAAAACATCCAGAAAATAAAAGGTAATTGTTTCACAGAGTTAAGTTCTTTTTGAATACCTTCAGCAATGTTTTCTATCCAGCTTCATAGGCTTTACCTCCAAATTATTTGCCTATTTCACCACTTTCAAACAGTCTTTTCCCATTATTAACACAGAAGAATGATGGAAATACGTTAGATTAATTGCGAAAGTTGAACCTATTGACAGCCCAAACTTTCAGTAAGTTGCGAGCTCTCCTGTTCTCTACTACTTGCTGACGCTGGTATATTTAACAGTCTTCTACACAAGTCCTGTAAGATGAAAGAGCGAGCTCATCCGTATCGGCAACCATTGCTCGTCAAAAGGGATATGTAGAATTGATGATTTATCTGAATTATTCAATTAATTTTGAGTAAACAGTGGGGTTATAATCGCTTACGAGGCTTTCGAGATGATAGATGTATGTTAAAGCCTTATTTCCTTTCAATGCTAAAACGTGTGCCTTGAACTGTACTATGTTTTGAATATTTGGGTAAGAAATACGTTAGGCAGTCATAAAACTCCAGATACAGATAACAATCAGCACAGACAACAAGCGAACGAAGGAACCGTTCGAGATGACAAATCGCTTTTGGACTGGATCTACAATGATACGGTAGCCTATAGTGAGTAATGAAAAAGTCTAGAAGAGTTTGATTTTTTGTACTTCGGATGTTGTGCTACGAATTTTTCTTGTTTTGAACAAACATGATTTCCGGCAGTAAAATGTGATTTCTCTGTTCA